CGGCGGCCGGGGGGGGGAAGATGGCGGACGTGCTCAGCGTCCTGCGACAGTACAACATCCAGAAGAAGGAGATCGTGGTGAAGGGAGACGAAGTGATCTTCGGGGAGTTCTCCTGGCCCAAGAACGTGAAGACCAACTATGTGGTTTGGGGGTAGGTCCGGCGCGGCTGGGGCCTGGGGCTGGCGGGGCAGAGTTGGCGCCCCCCGGCGACCTCCTTCCGAACCCCTCCCCCTCGTTTCCCTCGGGGCTGGGATCGGATGGGCGCTCTGGGAAAGTTTCTCTCCTGAGCAGAAGTTGCGCTTTGAGGGTGAGGAGAGGGGAGCCGGCGCCCCTCCTGGAGCGGTCCCTCCCACTCCGTCTTCGAGAAGCCGAGGGGAAGGTGCCACGGGAGTCCCTGACTTTCCCAGTTCGTTTGGGCCCCTGTGGGTCGAGTGCCCGGGGCGCGGGCAGGGCCGGGGCGCGAGTCCACCTGAACAGAGGTGCACAAAGGAGCTCGCCATCTGGCGCCGGCGACTTTCCTTTTTGTTCTTTATGACTCTTCTTTCTGTCTTCGAGGCTGCCACGGGTTGTAACTGTCCTCGCGGGCCCTGGCAGCTCCTGGTCTGTTTCTTCTCCATTCATTACCGGGGCGGGGGTATTTCCTCTGGAAGGGAAGACGGGAACCAGCGCTAGGAAGTCAGGACGCGGAAGAATTTGGTGAGTTTGGGAAGGTCGTCAAAATCTGTGTTAGAGGCGAAGGCAGAAGTTTCTCAGGGAGAAAGTTACTGTTGAGATGGTGAGCTTTGCCGATCTAAGAAATTGATGTGTGTGATTTGGGGAAGTGTATCTTCAAGGAAAATGTTTTGGCATGTTGATGCTCGTGGGGTTTTCTGCGTTTAAGTCGTTCAGAAAAACTACTAGACACACTGGGGGTCTTTTTGGTGATGCCACTGCCATTGGTGCTTCGTTTGGATTTAGAATCTTGAATCAGAACCTTCTCATTTTGTTTGATTGAATGGAACGAGCTTTATGAAGAGTGGATGAAAAACTAGGGGAAATTCAGTGTGTCAGTTTTTCACCTTTTTATTTTCCCATGATTTAATTAGCTTTCTGAAATGTTGATTAAATGACATCATTCTGTTTCCTGTGTTTTATTCTTTCAGAGAATTTGCATCAGTAGAGTTAACTACATTTGGTTGTACTTTTAATCTTTTTTTTTTTTTTTTTTAATTTAAAAAGTGGTTAAGGAGTACCTAGGGTGTAGGGCAGTTCAGTGAGGAACAAAAAAAATTTTTTTTGTAGGAAAAAAATTCCCAAGACCCTACCTAGAAGGAGGTTAGTTTAATCAGAATAGAGGGGATGAAACAGACAACATGATCTGAAATGCTTTCTAGCTTTTAAAGAGAGCAATCACTTCTAGTTCGGAATATTTAGTAAAGAAATAAACTTTAACAAATGGGTAGGAATTCTCTGGGTGAAATGGTGGATTAAGTCTTCAGGATGAGTGAACTGTATGTATGCTTAAAGGTATTAGAACAGAAAAAGAACTGTGTTGACAGCAGTTCAGTAAAGCCATTGAAAAATGAATGCTTAGAACAGCAGATTTTAAACTTTTTCACCACATCTTAAGTTTAAATAAAAATCACACCTTATTTTTATTTTCTATATGTACGTGCGTGTGTGTGTAAATATGTACATGTATGTAAAACACTAATAAATACTTACTCTTATTGCCTGCAGAGTGTTTTGTTATTCTTCTCTTATATATTATAAGAAAAAATATGGTTGTTACCGTGTATTGGATTTCTTAGTACAGTAATTGGTAGTGCTGTGTAGGTTGAAATACCTTGATTGAAAGGAAAAGTGGAAATAGAGGCTAGAAAAGTAGGCTTAGGATTGATTACAGTGGGCTGTACTCAGATGAATTCAAATAATACATTGCCGTTTCTGGTTGAGGAGAATGTAGGAGATTGGACACTAGGTAATATTCATGTTTACATTAGAGAGCTGGCATGCTAGATAGACTACATTGATCGCGGGTGGAATTGCATATTGGTTTAGCATTATTGGTCAACTTTGAGGGATATCATAAGAATGATACCTCTGAAATTCAGTATTGTGATTACTGTAAGAATGTGATTACTGTAAGAATGTGGTTAAGGATCTTATATTCTTAAATAAGCAGTATCTTATTTAGCAAGAACCATAGGATAAATTTCTTGTACATTTAGCGTCAGTGATAGGTCTTCTCCTAAGCACTTTGATTGTTTTCTCTGGTGGGTCCTCTTCAGTCTGTTACTGGTTAGGTTTCTCTCTCTCTCTGTTGATAAAGCTCAGAGCCTCAATAAGGCCTGATTCTAAAAGATGTATATTACCTTAAATATGAATTTTGTGTGCTTTCCCTACTTCTTGCTTTTTGTCATTGTCTTTGTTTTTGTTCCTTTTGCCCTAATCACAGTCTACTTACAAGATTTTGGACTTTATTTGTATTTTGTCATGTATATTAAACCTATTGTTGGGTAGCAAAGTTGTATAGATAAGTGAATATATATATTTAAGCCCAAAGAGCTGAATTAGAATTATGAGTAAAAATCTTGTCTTACTTATTATAGGACTGGAAAGGAAGGCCAACCCAGAGAATACTACACATTGGATTCCATTTTATTTCTGCTTAATAATGTGCACCTTTCTCATCCTGTTTATGTCCGACGTGCAGCTGTAAGTAGAATGGATTTTAAAACTTTTTTAAAAACTTCGTAGTATTAGATATCATTTGGGGTGGATAACTTCCCTTATAGATTTCAAGTCAAAAGAATGAAAGTGTTTTTTTTTTTTTGAGTTGGAGTCTCACTCAGTCGCCCAGACTGGAGTGCAGTGGCTGCTTTCGGCCACCGCAGCCTCGACCTGCTGGGCTCTGGTTATCCTTCCGCCTCAGCCTTCCGAGTAGCCGGAATTACAGGCGCGCGCTACCACGCCAGGCTGATTTTTTGATTTATTGTAGAGACGAGGTCTCGCTGCCCAGGCAGGCCTCGAACCCGCGGGCTCAGGCAATCCACTCACCTCAGCCTCCCAAAGGCATGGGATTACAGGCTGAGCCACCGAGCCCGGCTGAAAGGTTTTTTAAAAAGTATTTGGAGGCTCAAAATTAGGCAGCTGTGTAACTTACACAAATTTTTAAACTGTGATTTTTTTTTTCTCATGTAAAATGTGGGTGGTGTTTATATCAATGGAAGTTTTAAAGGCATTTATCCAGCAGGACTTAGTGGCACCTGTCTGTTATTCCAGCTGCTCAGGAAGCTGAGTCAGGTGGATTGCTTGAGCCAAGGGTTCAAAATCAGCCTGGGCAACATAGCAAGACCATATCTCAAAAAAGAAAAGTAAAACAAACCAAAAAATTAAAGGCATTTATAGGGATGTTTTTAAAAATGCATAAGCCTATTTCAGAATTCTAGTTTAATTTCAAGAAAACATGTTTAGGTCATAAGGATCAAGATTAGCAGATGTCTTTTTAAAGTTATTTTTAATCAATTTAATACTGCTGCTTTTATACTCTTGATAAATTCATTTGCTTTTATTTTACCTGTTTTCTTAGTATTTGAAAATTATTACTCAGATGAAATCTTTGGAAACAATTTGTAAACAAGTGATTTCACAGAGATGAAGATCAGATTATTTATTTGCAGGGAAGCTGTATATTATAATTGATACATAAATGGGCTTCAGAGTTATTTGGATAGGATAGCTAGCAGTATAATATGACAACTTGCCATTGCCATAAGTGCCCAAATAAAATGCCCCAAAACTACGATATTTATATTTTTAAATGAACCCCACTCTCAGATTATTTTTGATAGACTTGAGCATAAACATTTTTTGAGATAGAATTAAAGTAATCAAATGTCTGCTTTTAATATTTGTTGTTTTCATTTACTTATAAGTATATTTTTAAAATTAAGTATAAAATGTATTAATTTATCAATAACTGCTTTTCCCCATTATTCAGACTTCACAAACATTTTGTGTCATCAGTAGAGCTACTTTTCTGACACAGTTGCTAGATCGCATTAGCTGTGTGAAATTTATTTCTATAACTTCTCACTCCCAACTAGAAATGGTTAAGATTTTGGCTTAGGTGAGGTGTCTTTCAGACAATACTTTATTTAAAGCAGCTGAGAAAGTATCTCATCAAGTAATGGGCTTTGTAAGGATTAAACTGTAAGACTTCTGGTTTTCTGAGCAAGAAACATATTTTTTTTTTTTTGAGTTGGAGTCTCTCACTCTGTCGCCCAGACTGGAGTGCAGTGGGCGCTCCTGGCCACCGCAGCCTCCACCTGCTGGGCACCGGCGATCCTTCCACCTCAGCCTTCCGAGTAGCCAGAATTACAGGCACACGCTATCATGCCCGGCTGAGTTTTTGATTTATTGTAGAGATGAGGTCTCGCCTGCCCATGTGGGTCTAGAACCCGCGGGCTCAGGCAATCCACTCTCCTCAGCCTCCCAAAGGCGCGGGATTACAGGCTGAGCCACCGAGCCTGGCAAGAAACATATGTTTAGTATTAAATTCTTATTTAAAAAAAGAGTATGGTGGAACAGCTTGGGAAATAGTGGGGAAAATGTGTGGCATCTCTTATCTTTAAGGTTATTTTAACTCATAAGAGTTTTAAAAACTGAATTGGACAGTAATTAGAATTTTTATTAAATAGAGCCTTTCATTTTGCAGTAATAAAAGTTGAGATATTTCGTTTAGATTTGCAATTATGTTTTTTGGGGAATGGTTGCAGCACATAACTGATAACTATAATTGTTACTGTGGACTGTAGGACCCTTGATCAAATAAGATTTAACTTTTTTATTTTTCTTAAACATTTACCAAGTTAAAAGGGTGGAATTTTAAAATTCTAGGGTTCTGTGAATTTGAAATTGTTGTCTCCTAATTGCTTTGTGTTATTTGTTCTTTCTTGTGAGCAGCTGAAATAAGTATTTCTGATTCATAAGCTCCTATTTTAGTGGGAGTAGGCTTACATCTTTCTCAGTTGGGTGTAATGTGTACATAGTTTGTAGTGACAAAATGATGACATGTTATCAGACTTGCAAACAGTAATTTAAAGAAAATTAATTCAGATATTTTAACTATTTGTGGTATTCCATGTAGACTGGTTTTAAAAAAATACACACAGATAAACAATTATGGAAGCTAATTTCATACTCATAAGGAGAAACTAAAATTTAGCCTTAAAATTTTTATAAATGATTAAGTATAGTTTATCTAAATCATCAGGGAATCAGTGCAGAATGTTTTTAGTTCAGTGAAATGTAATCAATATGTAATGGGAGATAATTAACCAAAGATACTAAAGGTTTTTGTTGTTACTTTATTGTTGCTCATATATGATGATAAAGAGTTTAAACTATGTAATCCCTCAACCACTAGTTTTCTTGCCCTCTGTGTTTGTTGACATTAGAAAAATGATAATAGAAAATTGTGGTAAAGACAGGATTCATTGAATTCATAACCCAAAGATGACTTGGTACCTAAAGTATATGGTTTTATTTGTTTTGCTAACCCCTTTACAGATTCCTCATGTTGACGATTAAAGGAAAATTATCTGTTTTACTAAAATTGATTTTTTTCAGATTTAAGTTTTTACATTCTTTTTCCCCTGCCTACAGAATTTATGCACACACACATTTTTGTTTGTTTGTTTGTTTGTTTTTTCTGGGCCGGAGTGTCACTGTCGCCCAGGCTGGAGTGCAGTGGCACACTTATGGCCACCACAGCCTTGACCTGCTGGGCTCAGGTAATCCTGCCTCAGTCTTCCAAGTAACTGGAACTCCAGGCACGTACCACCATGCCTGGCTGCACACTCAAGGATTAAAAAATGTAATAAAGATAACCGGGCTCGGTGGCTCAGCCTGTAATCCTGCTCCTTGGGAGGCTGAGGGGAGTGGATTGCCTGAGCCTGCGGGTTCGAGACTTGCCTGGGCAACTTGGTGAGACCTCAT